TGGTTGTCTTTGAATTGTAGGATTTCCAAAAGAATTAGTTTGAGATGGCTGATAACTTGGAGCAGATTGCATTGAATCTGCCTGCGGCGGAGTGGAAACCACATGACACATGTTCTCACTTGATGCAGTTGAACTTTCGGTTACTTGTTCAAGATTCGATTGAGATGAGACGATGAGATTGTTGTTACCTTGAGAAACCGCGTAATAAGTAGGATTATATGAAGGTGAAAAGCTCTTTGAGTTAGGAATTTGAATTTGTGAATTTGTTGGATTCATATTATCGTAGATCTAAAAGATTTCAATAAAAGTTAATCGATTGTCTGATATTTATTTATAATTTTTTGTTTTCTTTAACGAATTTTTAATTTTAAAATTTTTAGAAAAACTGCCCTTTTTATACTGTCTCATTGCAATGGTCGATCTTAGATTATGTTTTGATTGGTCTTGTGATTTCAAATTTTCCAAATATAGTATTTGCGAAGCATGTGATCTGTTGATTATTTATTACTTTTGCATAACCAACTATTGGCACTTAATTTGTAATATTTATCGCTCAAGCATACTCTATCAATTGTAAATCATTTAAAAAAAAAGGTGGTTTGTAACTTTCTGAATATTTATTGAAAATAAGAAACTCTGATACTTTTTCAGTCAATCAGATTATATATTGGTCTATTAATTGAAAGCTCTTTGCCTTTCCTTTCACAAATAATTAAATCAAATTTATGTATGGTCCATATGAAATTTATTATTGATCGATTTTCATATAGCTGCCTCTTCTATGTAACTGGACGCTTTTTTTTTTTTAAAAATATTCTTATTTACAAAATAAAAAAATAATACTTTCGGACACAGCTCAAGGAAAAAATTTTTTCATTAGGATTTTCAAAAAAAAAAAAAAAAAAAACGCTGTCCCATTATTTTTTATGTTATAATATCAGATATGCATATCAATTTAATTTTAATATGTTTGAATTGCTAATTTAGAAAAAAAGTTATCGAATTTTAAAAAATTTGGAATTTTTCTACATATAGGTTTGGTTTAATTAGTCATGTTCTAGTAAAAATATATAAATAAAGACCATAAGAAACAGGTTTTTACGTAAATGCTGCGTAAGTTTTTCGGAAAGCATAAAAATATAATCGGAAACTTCTTAAAATATCAATCATATTAAAAATATTAATATCCAAACTTCAGACATCATATAGGACCTTTGCAATAAATAGAAAGGGGGGAAACAGCCGGAAAAAATCAATTTTACTTTTATATGCCAAATATGATTTTTGGACAAAATATGTTCAGAATTAGCATTAACTCGATTTTATTTTTTCCAGCCGTTTCCCCCTTTTCTATTGCAAAGGTCCCATATAACAAAAATATGCATGAATTCACTTTATGGCTTTAAATAATTAAAGCGAGAATTTAAAAATAAATTTATATAAAAAAAAAAGAAAAATTAACATTGTTAAAGTATGAATTAGATGAATTAAATGAAAAAAATAATTATATATTAATTGAGAAATAGTTTCTTTAAAGGTCATCTCTTCACAGATGATTTGATCATTATTACAAGGTCTATAAAAATGTAAGTTTAATTTGTGTTTTTAAGAAACAATATTATGAAATTGGTCGATCGAGTTATTTGTTTCTGTTTAGAAGATTAAAAAAAAAAGACAAAAATTAATGTGTGAAGAATGTTATATTTATAATAAATAAATAATTTGTTTCACCAAATTTTTTTAATGCAACATGTCGTTAGGAGATATATGGGACCTTTGCAATAGAAAATGGGGAAACAGCTAGAAAAAAATAAAAATCGAGTTAATGCTAATTCTGAACATATTTTGTCCTAAAAATCATATTTGGCATATAAAAGTAAAATTGATTTTTTCCGGCTGTTTCCCCCTTTTTATTGCAAAGGTCCCGTATTATTATCTATATTTTTTTTTATATTGATAGTCGGAATAATCGTCCGGAAATATTATAAATACGAAATATTGTATATTGTATATTGAATACATATTGAAGAAACTTATACCTTGTTCTTAATTTACATACATGTACAGTATATTGGGAGGGTTTCTAGGAAAATCAGGTTCCAAGAAATAAACATCAAAACTAAAATGCAATAAAAATCTCAATTTTGTTAAAACCGATTATGCTTGATTTGGTTGACCAGATCGGCTTGTACGACCTTTTGACGGAAAATAACAAAAAAAAAAAGTTTCCATTAGAATTTAAATAATTTGTCAAGCATTTTAAGTTTCTCATAAATTTGCCAAACATGTTTAACAAATAAAAATTAAAAATTAATATATTCAACTAGAGACAGAGGAGAAATGAATACGGATTATGTTATAAAATTAAGCAATAATGTTGTGTTTACAATTTGATGTTTAAATAACTTTTTTTGACTCTTCCTCCAATCAAACTTTTGAAATTTCAGACAGGACAAAAATTTAATAATACGTTACATGTAGGGATGTTAAGCGGTCCTTAACCTGTTCTTATGATTTAAGAGGTTACTATCTTAGAGAAGTCTAATCACTTACCTATAATAAGTACTTCCCATCAAAAAATTGTCATAAATATTTTATAATTAATTTGTAAAAAACGAAAAAATATGCAATTATGCAGGCTTTGAAAAATAATAATTTTTATATTATTAGAATTGCGCATAAATGTATGATATTTATGTTATATTTACAAAGAATCGAAAATTTTAATATCTAATGTAATTTACAATATTTACAAAGCAACGCAGATTCATAACGTTCGTATTTAAGAAATCGTAATAATGCAACGTGGGTAATTTTTTTTTAATTTATTGTTGAAAAGTCAAATTAGAATGCGAAAATGACATTTTGGTTTTATATAACAAAAGTAATACTCCAAAAAATATTTCCTTTCAAACATCTTTTTTTTTATATATTAGCATTACGCTTTCATTCTATCTGAACAAAAAGAGAAATTTTGCAAGTCTAGATAATACAGTATATAATGTTGGGAGTTCCATATAAAAACATCATTACTTTATGAAACTGAAATCTTTTTCCTAACTGATAAATCACGAACGAATTCAAATATATATAAAATTTATTTTTTAAAAAAAAAAAATTCAAGCAACGTATGTTCGGATCAGATATTTACCAAAATTAAGCCATAATTTACAATACTTTAATGGAAACATATTCAATTGAACTTTATTTATAGACACAAAGGTTTAAATTTGTTTAAGCTTGATTTATATATTATTCCCAATTTGATGATATCGTAAATCTGTTTCATATTGAAAAGGTATTGATTGTGATATGGTTTCATACGCATCCCGATTGATATAATAATCATCAGTAAACTCTAAAAATTAGATGTAAACCTGAATATGTTACATTCTATGTATCTAATGACTTTACTGTTGAGAAAACCGTCTTTTTCTGGTGAAAGTGAGATCTTTACCGGAGATGTCCAACTGTTCGAGCGAGACCGTTAGGAAAACACAATTATATCCAAAATCGATAATTTAACCTACCAAATCTCTTAATTTAGACCACCATTGTGTTTTAGTCCCTTTAAATTCAATGGTCGACTTTTTTGAAAATTGTACAATAATGGTCGAAGATATTCCTTCAACAGAACGTAGCTGTTATATTAAAATAAAGAATTATAAATCAAAAATTCAATCAATACAAATCCAATGCTTACCTTCTCACTGCATAATGAAGAATATTTTTTGAGTGACAATATGACAGCGCACAAAAAATTTTGCCATTTTCAGCCCAGTCATAGTAAGTGTGCAAGCGGTCATTCCCATGACTCCACGACTTAATCAATTTAAATGAATTAAATTTATTGAAATTCTCAGTCACAAAATGAATAGAAAATGAACATATTAGAAAACTTAGCATTTGGAAATATGTGGCGAATCACTCAAGTATTCCACGATGGTAACTTTCTAAAAATCTCACTTTTTTTTGTTGGTATCTAAGGGAAGAATAGATTTCTCTGCGACTGGTTCCTACCTGCCAGAGAAAAATTTTAACCACATGATTTCTGCTTCTCTTCTCGCTTGACCATTCTTAATGTCAGCACGGAAATCATTATCATTGATAGATGTCTGCGAAATTAGCGCTTCAGAAGATTCTGCTTCTGCAATTACTCATTCACTTTGATCGACTATGCTCATTGGATGGCCCCTGTTCGTTGCGACAATGTGATATGTCATATATATGACAACAGAATCCAAATCTCTTTCACAACCTATTTTTATAAACAGTATGATGTCAAAATATATTTCAGAATTGGAAGGCAACTTATTAAATGCATCATACCTTTTCTGCAGTTAATATTTTAATAATCTCCTCGGTATTATGGCAATAAACTATGCAATAAAAACTTCACAATATCAATAAGCTTTGGAAATAGATCCAGAAAACGTATATGCACTTGTACATCGTAGTAATATGTACCTCAATCAAGACAACGTAACTGCACTTTCAATACGTAGAATTATATATCGAAATCTTAAAAACTATGATAAGCATTGGCTAATTTTATCAAAGCTCAATGGATCGGTCTAGACGATGCATCTTCACTTGAGAATTGAGGTCGATCGTATCAATTGCTTGATAATTATTATGATGCGTTGATCTTAACAGAGTGTGAAATATGCACTTGTGATATACATCGATTACTAATGAGTCACTGGTTGTTCTTGAGAAAGGCCTAAATATGAATCCAGATAACGCATTTGCACTTGTAAATTGAGGTGAAGTGTACCGACGGCTTGGTAACTTTGACGAGGCACTATCTAATCTTTATGAAGATCTAAAGATCGATCCTGAGGAAGACTTGCACTTATAGCTCGTGATATTGTGCATAAACATCTTAAGAATTATGATCAGACTCTAGCAGATCTTAATATGGTTTTGAATTTTGATCAAGAAATCTCTTGCAGTTCGTGGTAAAGTATATGAACTGCAGCTCATGCACACATATATAGAATGCTTCATAATCATGAATGTGAACTGTTTGATATTAACAGGATCTTGAAAATTAATCAACCAAACAACAACAACATATGCTCATTATTCGAGGTGACATACACAACGGTTTAGTAATTATGATCTAACACCCGCTGACTTTGACAAAATTCTGAAGATTGATTCTAAGGTAATAAATTGGACAAATTTACTCTTAAAAGACGAGATACTATCCTTCAACTACGACAAGGCACTAATTAATCTTGATAGAAGTTAAATACTGGAATTGTATTGCGTAATGATAAGTTTAATAAAATGCTTTCAGAGACGTTGGATAAGGCAAATTCAAAGACTCACGGTAGTTGCTCTTCGAGGTTTTATACTTGAAAAGCATTAAACGAAATTGAGAAACTCGATCAAAATTACGTATATGCATCAGCGATGCGAGCGAGACGAGTTATGTGAAATGTGAAAACAGGTGTAAATGCTACAACAAGAGTTTGATTCAATATTGGTTGATATCAAGTTTATCTTTGATGTCAAATTTATTTAGAATCGTACTCAGAAACAAAAACTTATTTTTTATTTTTATACAAATTTAAATTCAATTCCGATTCTCATATGAACATAAACGTAAGCACTACAACTTTTAGGCCACATTCATGCTGTATTAAATCAGAACATAACTTTCAGTATTGCAAGATTTTTTTTAACAGCGTTTGACAAGTCCGGAGTGAGCTCATTTTAAATTCACGTGATAAAATAATCGTAATAGATCGGTAGTGAAACGAAGTCCTACGGTACACTCTGGACTAATAAATAGAAAAACTTTAGAACTACTTGTTTAAATGTCAGACCATGCTTCTAATGTAATAAAATACTCAAATGGTGTTAGTGTATGTGATTGTGAACGATTAAAATCACAAATTGATGAATTTATTAAAGAAATACATGATGTTATAGAATGGATACCATATACATGATTTGAGAATATTAACCTATTGGTGAGTCAAGATAGTTAAAGCTGACTGCTTAGATAGGCAAATTAAAAAATGGAGAAATGATGTAAAACAGTGGGAAAAAAACTCAATTCTAATATCATATTCACATAATGATATTGATATGGAGTATATGCCAAGTCATCTGACCAAAAGTTACCAAGAATATACCTTTTGTTTTACTAATTAATGGAAAAATGTTGGATTACGATCCTAGAAATCGGCCCAATGCTTACAATATTGACAAATGGTTTGAAGACCTTCAAAAAGCAATCGAGTTACATTCAATGTTATTAACGGAATATGAACAATATGAAAATGAACATAAAAGCGAAATTATTAACTAGAAGGATTTGAAAAATTTAGGGATTATATCGCAAAGAACTTTTTGATATGTAATGAAATAAATGCTTCTACATTGGATGAAGCAGATGAACAAACTAAAAAATTACCATTCGATTTTTCTAATTGTTCACAACCACCTCCTAAGATATTTAGAATTCTAAGGTCTTAATATTTTCTTTTCTCTGTTCAATTGTAAAATTAGATAATCTTTTTAGACATTAATATTAGTATTTTGTATTGCTTATTAACCTTATGGTTTACGCAAGAAATATATTTCTACTGATTTTTAATACAATTTTCAAATAAATTCAAATTATATGTAAGAAAAAAAAAGGTTGAGTTATCGAAAAGTTATAATGTTTGACATATAGATATTCGAAATTTCACCTTGACGAATGACATGATCTTTGTGTTTTCTCTACATCGCTTAGCGTAGCAAATTTAGTGTGAAAAAAAGCATAAAAATTCATATATTAGTTTTTTTAACCGGAGCATGTGACCAAAATTTAAAAAATCTTTTCCGACATTAACAACAGGAAAAATTCTAGTCTTATAAAATTTTACCGGAAATTTACCAGTAAATTAGAATGTCACAATTCCGTTCTTTTTTTTTGAAGGATATTTGAATTAATAATCTTAAAAAATGTGACGCGGTTAATTTAATTATCAATACTTTTATATCAAAACTTTTTATTTTATCTAAAAAATTATAACTCTATAAAAAATAAATGTTCAGAAAATATCATCAAAAATGTCCTGAATCTATCCAGATATATCAGAAAATGTCTGGAAAATAACCATTATTTGTCCTAAAAATGATCATACTTGCTGTTCAGACTTATTCAAACATTTAAAAACATTCAGAATATATACAGAAAGAAATTTAATCTTTTTTTCTAATACAGAATATGTTCAGAATTTGTATTAAAATTATTTGTC